GGGGGATGTTCAGTGAGAGTAAGACGATCCTATCAGTACGTCCAGAAGGATTCTTTCATCCGGGAGACAAAGTCTCAGGAGATAGTCGACTCTCAGCACGAAGAGTTCCCGCATGGCTGCATAGTGCGCCCACAGACGATCTTCCGTGTGAGCTCGTGGGAACTCGGGAAATGGTTGATTCGCTGCCATTCGTGAACAAGGGCCAGCTACATTCAAGGATGTAACATCGGAAGACGCACCAAGGTTACCGATTATCGCCAATGATGATCTGTCTATGCATTACCTGTAAGTGTTGAAAGCTTTGTTCCTTAGGGAGACTTCCTGTCCACGAAAGGACCCAGTCAGGTCCATGCTCCCTAGGTACAAGACCGCTGTGGAGTAAGATCCCCCTTACCAATGAGGCATCACCGTAACTCAGCCGGAAGCCAGGCCTGAAGCGGCCAGATGGGAATAAGCTGAGCTCATGTCAGTTCAGCACTCACCTGTCAATGCCAGTCGAAGGCACAAGGGAAGGTGTAGAGGCGGAGCGGGATATGAGCCTCGATCTGGTGAACGAGGCCGAGGTGCTCGCCTGAGACAGCATAAGTACATTTGACATTCCCTTCGAGTTACTCGGCTATCCACTGCTGCCGGGGACCGATTTGATGGACAGACGTTATCCCGTTTCGAGTAGGACTTGGTCTCCAATGATTTCCGCCTCTTGGAACCTCGCGGGAACGGCTTGAACTGGATGCATCTACATAGGCATACTATTGATCAATTGTAAGCTTGAGAGCCCAGTACTACCCAGGTATCCTAATGTCCCTAGCTGCGTTGAAGGTAGTGAAGCCCATCGAATGTACAGCTTCCTCCATATACCTCTCCAAACTCCTCATCTCATTCTCCAAGTCTACATTACTTCGAGAACTACTGGCGGGGCAGCCAGGAAAATCTCCCTTCCACCACATCTTGGAGGACAGTGGTGACCCAAACTGACAGTGCATGATGCCCGATCGATCAGATTGGCGTGCGCTAAGAACGTGGTAGTTTGGTGCTATCTTGGAAAACTTCAAGTTGACGACCACTACCATCACATACGAGTTTTCCGAGTATTTTTTTCACAGATTAGATACACTCAAGAACACTTAGTTGCCGTGAAACTTTGCAATGGTCATAACCTTGATTCTTGAAAAGTGTGACGGTGACAGTCTGTCACCGTTGCAGCGTTGGTCATACTATACATAGCGAAGTTTCCGTCCAGATTCCTCTGTTGTAAACGGCATTATCGCTACAACAAGATATGCGCTGATGTTTTCAGTGTTTCAACGTCACATTTGGGAGTTCCGGATTCACAACTCGTTCCGATCTTCCCGTTTTGTACAGCAACAGGAGCAAAACCGTTTCTAACGAGGAGTCAAGTGCCGAGAAGGATGATACCAGCGTTGGATTGAGCGTGATAGATTGTGATGAGACGGTATTCATGAGATGGTCATAGTAGGATATTCATAATAGTAGGATTTTCATAGTAGTAGTATTTTCATACTAGTAGTATTTTCATAGTAGGATTTTCATAGTAGTACTTTCATAGTAGTAGGATATTCATAATAGGAGGATTTTCATAGTAGTAGTATTTTCAATACTTTCAACGTCACATTTGGGAGTTCCGGATTCACAACTCGTTCCGATCTTCCCGTTTTGTACAGCAACAGGAGCAAAACCGTTTCTAACGAGGAGTCAAGTGCCGAGAGGGATGATACCAGCGTTGGATTGAGCGTGATAGATTGTGATGAGACGGTATTCATGAGATGGTCATAGTAGGATATTCATAATAGTAGGATTTTCATAGTAGTAGTATTTTCATACTAGTAGTATTTTCATAGTAGGATTTTCATAGTAGTACTTTCATAGTAGTAGGATATTCATAATAGGAGGATTTTCATAGTAGTAGTATTTTCATAGTAGTACTTTCATAGTAGGAATATAGTATGTTTCATAGTACTTTCACGCGCGAATTTGATCCACCTCTTAGACCCTACATGGCCTCCAGTCTTTTGGACAGCAGCACCGTCTGAGTGCCATAGAAGTAATAATGCTGCTGAGGACTCCATGGCACCTTGGAGGGGAAGCTCGGTGCCGCCCACCCGAACATCCACAGGTTTGTCGGTAAGCTACTGATGTATCATGAATTTGTGCGACAAAAGCTGAGATCGGCGGAAAGGCGGCCGATGCCATCCTCGCGTAGAGATCATGATCGTGTGGCGGTTTGGTTGAAATATGGGCAGGGCTGGAGTCACTGCTTACCTAGAACAGATAGACAGAAGAATCAACAGGGTACTCGAGTCCGTGGCTCCCTCTGCCAACTTATCAATCGGTGCCCATAGGGCGCAGGCCAACGATTGCGACTGAATCAAATTTCCGTCCGGGAAGTTTCTGACACTATAATCTCTTTTGCGTTTGTAGTCAGGAACCATATAGTAAATTGGGATAGTAGTATTTCAGTGACAACTCCTCACTGAGAAGCCTAAGTCCAAGCGGATCAGACTTCGGAGACGAAATTCGACTGTCGAGTTACTGAAATTACCCAACTACGAAGGTGCAGTTGGAATACTGACATACCTACGGATTCCTCAGAATAATCCCAACTCAAAGCTTGACGTGATCTAGCTCACATTACCAGTGGGAATATTAGCAGCAAGTGGTAATTTACCACACACGCCACCAATTTCAAAAATTGGCGAGTTTATGGGCGCAGCGAGAAAGTCGTCACAGCACCGAAGTAGGTCGAAAGGTCGAAACCGTTCCCAGCTGTGCTAGACGGGCTTAGTTGAAAGCTGTTACGTGTGGTGATAACGACAGGTTGAGGGCTTACGACAAGTTGGTATAGTTGGTGTTTTTGATAGTCCGTAGTTGGTTTGGTTGTAACAGGTTTGCCTAACAGTTTAGCCCAAACCGGTTTACGTCAAGTCGTAGTTAGCGTCCGAACCGATAAGAACTCAACGGGATGACAGAGCGCACATGTTGCCATTGACGAGATCCTGTTCCGGCATTATCAAGCTGGTCGGCTTTAAGTGGTTGTACTATCGAGACGCTCATGGTTCATCAGCATTGGTAGCAATCGCATTTATCACGCGAACCGCTGAGTCATTGTAACTGTTATCAGTGAACGAGAATCAATCCCTGGACTTCTACGTTGTTGGACATGTGTGTCGACCGTCATACCAAACTTACCGATGTCTATTCAATTCAATCGAGCTCTCTTGACAACGAAGACCTCGATTTCGAGTATTGCGCACTGTTAGATCACAATTTGGTAATCATCTTGGGCCTAGGGCTTCAGTGTATGTTTTGATCACATCTCTCCATCTGGTGTCGGAACCGAGGGTCTCCAAGTAGAGTGGGTCCACGACCATGATATCAAAAAGCTGCTCATTTAGCCTGTCAATATGACAAAGGCGGCATTCAAGAGCAGTAATGTCCGGAGATCGAATTTTAACGAATGCAGAAAATCACGGTACCGTCACTGATGGCCCGTCTGTAGTAGGGTAAGGCCCGGTTCATGAAGAGGACGATACGCACCGGACTGTCACAATCGACGGAATCCAGAAAGATTCTACTGCTAGTGATCAGGAGAACCAACGTCCAAGAAAAGATATTTCTTCGGACGAGGAACCTTCAAACATTGTAGTAGCACAGGTTGATGGGGATCGCTGATGACGTGGTTGGAGGGAGTGGGGCCAGCAGCGGGACTCTGGTTGGGAGCACGGAGAGAGCCGGAGGAAGATTTGGAACATAGGCTTAGAGATAGTTGGAAGAGGAGTGGTGATGACATTTGGGCAGGACGAGGAACAATGGGGTAATTGGTGCACGAAGGAAGAGGTTTTTTCAATTGAGGGAAGAGGAGGATATGAGGATATGAGGAGGTAGGTTGTTCTCTTTCAGCTTTTTTCATGGTCC